GCGTCAATCGGCTAGTCTTTTTTTCTTCTTCCGCGGGTGATTCTTTGAAGTCGCGATAACGAAAGGAGCATCATATTTGATAAAACAATCGTTGTTGGCATTTTTGTTACTCGTGTTTTTATGTCTTCGAGTGTTCACTTTTCTTCTCGTAGAATAAATTGTTCATTAATTTTTTTCCGTACAAATAGCTGGTATATTAATTTGTTTTCGTGATATTGCGCAACTCAGGATTTAAAAAAAAAAACCATTGAAGTTTTTTCATCGCATCAAAGCTCCCGAAAGTAAGAAAATAAAAACCGGCCATCAAAAGTGTTTTTACCCATCACGATGGAATTGAAAACGCTTGGTCAGCGCGAAGGTGCACGATAAAAGTATATGAATAAAAAGCATCCCTCTTAATATTGCCGGTTTTTGCAGGTACCGGTCGAATAATAAATTAATCACACTTCGCTCGAGGAAAAAAAGAATGAAGTAACAATCGACAAGCGCTCATTTATTTATACACTCGAACGTGGATGGTATGAAAAAAACATTTTTTTTTTTTTTTTTTTTTTTTCTTTTCAACGAGCACAGGCGAACCGATCACCAGCCGGACGAAAAGCATACGCATATATAATATGTATAAAACCAAAAGCCACCAACCAATCGTATACGAATCAACGACAGTGAGGGTAAAAATGAATACAGGCTCGATCGAAAAAAGGAGAGAACCAGCCAAACTGCGAGCACAACTGTACCCTTACTGCGGAACAAGCAGTCAACCACTCGAGTATCTCGCCCAAAGACATCCCGGATCTAATTTCGTCCTCTCGCGCGCAAAGAGGGGTTATACATATATATACGTACGCAACCCGCGGTTGATTTGGTCGCGAGCCGATAAAGCCGAAGGTCAAGCTTGACGATTCAAGGATACGCGTGCAAGTTCCCAACCAGTAGAACGGGTCCGTCCGAGCGTGTGTCCCCTGTGCACACAACACCCCTCCTTTATTTTTCCAAGGGGGAGGAGTGTGTTTTATGTACCGATACACGTATACACGCAAACACGGGGGGAGGGGGAGGGAGAAAGGATCGCCGCGCGCGCGAATCGCATAACGAAAGAAATACTTAATTCCCTCCGACCGACAGAGAGGTATTTTTCGGGCTAAGTCACCTTCTTCCGATTAAGCGGTGAAAAACATCGTACTCTTTACGATAATTGCAGGTTGTGGATTTTTTTCCTCTTTTTTTCGACGGGGGTGTGTTGTTTACCTCGTCGCCGCGGTAAGGGGGTAGGTGTGTGGACTTTACCGAAAATTCCCGGCGAATCGTTACAAAAGCGAGCACTTTCTCGGGGGGGGGGGGATTTCGCGAGAGCGGGCCACAGAGGAAAGGTACAAAAGCCGTTTCCAGTGGGTGGAATTTCCAGACAAACAGCTAGACGCCTTGTCGTACGTTATAATCGGCCAAAGACAAGTTCAATGGCTTTCCAATGGCGCCGTGTTTATTGACCGTATACGTACACACGTATACACTTTTGTACTTCCCACCGATAAGTACATCAATTTAAAAGTTATTTGATGATGTTGGATCTTTCGTATACCTATCTTCCGTATGGGGGTACCTTGTTTGTATGTCATTTTTTACCCCCAATCACCTCTGCGATTGAAATTTCTTATCGAAAGTCACAACTTTTTTTGAGCTTTTTTGTCGATGTACCGTAGCTCTCGCTTTTCACGCGCCGCTCATGCGTGTCCTTTAGCAATCGGCAAGGGTTTGCTGTTTTTTTTTTTTTTTTTTTTTTTTTTTTTTTCTTCCCTCAAGATTCAGATATGTCCAATTACATACACGTATATGATCTGAATATTACGGATCTCATTGTGCACGACGCACAATGTAGGTATATACTCTCAAGATGAGGTTTTTTTTCGGCAAACTAAGTATTATTCTTAAAATAATGGCAAGTGTCAGACCCGAGCGCTTTTTTTTTTTTTTTTTTTTTTTTTTCGATCGACGAGACTCTCGCATGAGGAAGTGAAGGCTCCGTGTCGATGATTGAACTTGGTTTTTTCAAGGTATCATGATTTTCATTGCATTGTTTGTTTTCTTCATCGATTACACGTTTAACAATAGGCTGGTGATTGAGAACTCCGTCAGTTTTATTCCTTTGATACTTTAGAGGATTAGTAACTATCGTGTGGTTAACAATAATGACACGCGTTTTTTGTGGACCAGAGTTGAATATCAAATATTGAAAAACAACAGTCAAACGAATAAAGTTACAATGGATTTTTTTTCTATCCACTGGATCATCTCGTTTCAGCCGGAAACAATCGATTTGACTCACAATCGAGATAAAGCGAATGAAATACACACCCCTCTACACAGGAATCAAAAGAAAAACCACTTGTAATTACAACTTTGTTTGAAAAACTGTGGGGGTCAATTGATACTCAAGTATTATGCAAAAATTGTGGTGAAATATAATAAGTAGTAAAAAAAAGGAAACGTCATTAACCGAACAACGGTCCACTCAAAAAAATGGATTAAGGTTAAATATTTGATCCAACTTTTTAATGTAACGGGAGGAAATTTATCGAACTTAACGTTGCGTTTAAAAAAAAAACACAACCTCGGGTTTACGGGACGTGAAGTACGAGTCGAGTCTAAAACCAAATGCACGTACTACACGAACCAACACACTTGGATTAATCGAACTATTAATCTCCCCATATCTCATCAGTGGCTCGTTAAAG